TAGATATAATATTTTAAGTCTTGAAAGTTTAATGAGTAGATTAAATTACTATTGAATGGTTTGGCAACGTTGTATGGATCTCACAAAATGCTTTTACAACCAATAAACATGCGTGTGGATCCCACATGGATAGGTGTACCTCCCTATACACGCTGGATCCCAGAAAGATAGAATGATTATTGAAATTACTATGAGTGTATAGTGTAAATAAATATTACTTCAAATGTAAGAAAATATTTTAAAATTTAAGCATATAGTCCAAAGCCTTAATATATAATATTTCTTATGGATCCCATAACATACAGGTTTACTTACGGATCTCGTAATACAGTAGAGCCTCGATAGTCCGGACGGCAAAATTCCGTTTGTTCGTAAATAGATTTTACGAGAATTCCCAGAACCCAATTAATCTATGCATAAGATATTGTTATCGACAAATACAATTTCGTCATTTTTTTTACCTACTGTTCCTAGTAAAGAATAATATGTACATATGTAGGTAATAAATCGATGCCCGATGGTCAGTTCGTTTACTTCTTTCTTGTCGAGTGGTTATTATTCTTGTTTGTACAATGGCTCCTCGTAAACACGTAACTTTAACTTTAGATCAAAAAATTGAAATAATTAAGCTAATGGAAAATGGCCAGAACTATGGTATGATTGCTGAGAAGTACGGAATAGGTAAATCGACTGTTGGTGACATAAAAAAAAATAAAGAAAAAATTATGAAGTTTGTCAGCACAACTGAACGTGGTCCAGGCACACGTAAAACTTTAAAAGAACCGGAAAATCTTGTTCTCGAAAATGCTTTATTTATATGGTTTATGCAACAGCGGAGACGACATATTCCGATAAGTGGTGAAATAATTTGCGAAAAAGCACGTTTATTTCACCGTGAAATAACAAAGCAGGAAGATGGCTTCACTGCTAGTAGAGGTTGGCTAGACAATTTTAAACATCGTCATGGTATTAGGCGCCTTAAAATAACGGGTGAGAAACTTTCATGTGACGAAGCATCAATCGAACCATTTCGAAATGAGTTGCAGCGAGTCATAAATGAAAACAATTTGGACCTAGAACAAATTTATAACGCTGATGAATCCGGTTTATTCTGGCGAATGTTACCAGAGCATACATTGACATCAAGTCATGAGAAAAACGCCCCTGGAAGAAAAATGATTAAAGCTAGAATAATATTCATGCCTTGTGCTAATGCAAGTGGAACACATAAATTGCCTTTACTCGTCATTAGGACTGCACAAAAACCACGTGCGTTTAAATCAGTTAACCTTCCCGTATACTATCGTGGACAAAAAAATGCTTGGGCCACTCGTGTTTTATTTTTAGACTGGTTTCAAAAACAATTTGTTCCTGTAGTTTGTGAGCACCTTTTAAATGTAAATTTACCTCCAAAAGCTTTATTATTGTTGGATAATTGCCCTGGACATCCATCAGCAGAAGAATTACGTAGTGATGATGGCAACATTTTTGCAATGTTTTTACCCCCTAATACTACAGCGCTTATTCAACCGATGGATCAAAATGTAATTCAGAATATTAAATTAAACTATCGTAAGTCTCTCTTAGTCAATGTTCTTGCTGATCCGGTGCATGGTGAAAACCTTATTGATGCTCTAAAGGCCATAAATTTAAAAGACGCAGTTTTTAGTCTTGTAAATTGTTGGAAATTGGTCCCGCCAATGCTCATAAAGAAATCGTGGAAACACTTGCTTCCTTTCCAAACAGAAAATAAAATCGACGAAGTTGTTGAAATTAATGACATTCAAATTTCTACACTTATAAACCAGATACAGAAAACATGTACGAATAAAATGTCTGATTCTCAAGCACAGGAATGGGCTTGCCGTGGCGCAGACGAAGATTTAGCGAATCATGAAATCTTAACTGATGATCAAATTCTACAAATTGCAGCAAAAGAGGATGATATTGACGACGAGGACGAAAGTGGCTCAATTAGTACAAGTAAAGTTTCTCCTTCAGAAGCTGTGAATGCACTGAATACTGTATTGCAATGGGCGGAAGATGAGAACATGGATAGCACTGATATTTTGTTGGTACGTCGATTAAGAGAACTCGCTTTTGAAATGAAAATTAAAAGTACTATTCAGA